GTTTTATTGGAACACTGCCATGCTCCTTTGTTTACATGTTTTCCGTGGCTACTTTTGTATGACAAATGAGGAGCTGAGTGGAGATTAGCCCCTAAAGCTAAAAGTGGTACTCTTGCCTTTTACTGAAACAGTTTGCTGCCCCATGAGTTATATCAGTAACTGTAAGTCAGTTATTAATTGAGGAAGTCAGAGAACAGCTTATTCTAGGACAAGTGTTCTTAAACTGGGTTTGTAATGGCTCTCTGGGGATCTGTCATTCCAGCAAAGGACTTGTATTATTTTTGTAAGTATGCTTTTCACAGGAGGACAGTCTGTGGGTTTCATCAGATTCTTGAGGGGGTCTGTGATGGAAAATGTGTCAAGAACTAATGCACTAGGCTAATACCATAGGGTAGAGAAAAAGGCAGCTCACAAGACTGACCCAAAGGTTTTTGGAAAGGATGGAAATGTTGTAAACTGTCAACTCAGGGAATATTATTTTGTATATGAAAAACTTTTATAACTCCAGTTATTCTAACTCATTTTCTTTACTGACTACTACATGTTGTTCATAACCTCATATTTTCACAACCTGGCCCCGGGGGGTACTAATCTTGCACTTTATAGGTGTACATAATAAGGCTCAAGTATGCATACTCTTGACAGTATCGCTACTAATATCAGAGTGAGGGTCTGAAACGGGTCCAATCCCTCAGACGGCAGCACAGAGCTTCCTGTCAGCAACTGACTGAGACATCAGGCCGGGCCATTGAGTGCCATGTCTAAGTTGGGAAGTCGTCAGTTGTCCCTCTGGGGACCTCACGGCTCCAGGCCCATCACTCCCTGGTTTATCACCCCGCCCTTCCTTCTGAAGCCGGATCCCTCCACAAGTGCAGTGTGGGTCTCCTGTCCTCGGGGAACCCACTGCCATTCGAGGTCTGGGGAAAATCTCCTCTCCCTTGGCCTCCTCAGCATCACCCCTCTGTCTCCTGTCTTCTCCTGGACACATAGCTTTGTCTGAGCTGCACTCTCAGACTGTTGGAAAGACAGAATAAGGTGTGGTCCTCAAGTTGCTTAGGCCCTGAGTAGACCCCTGTGCTAAAGCAGACAAACTTGCCCATTGCAGGGTGGTGAAAACAGTACAGTAACTGTAGGTGGGCAAAGAGAACCAAACTACAAATAAATTTCTAAGTACATTATCCTATGACAGTCTCACTTGCAATGAGAAGCCATTCAGTTCTTTGAGGAGGACAATGACTCATGAAAGTATTACTTAAAAAATGGGAAAAATCATGCACATGGTGGCACATGCCAACAACTTGGGAGGCTGAAGCAGGAGAATCACTTGAGCCTAGGAGTTCAAGCTCAACCCGGCCCACACAGTGAGACCTCCTCTCAAAAGGAAGGAAGGAAAAAAGGAGGGAAGGAAGGAAGGGGGAAGGGAGGGAGGGAGAGAGAAAGACAGAAAGAAGAAAAGAAGAGGAAACAAAAGGAGAGAAAAGAAAAGAGAGAACCTACATACTTGCTGCGAATTTAGAATCAAGACTTGGCCATCTGTCAACCAAGCAGTATTAGCACTTCACAAGAGGCAGGGGCTGCTTCTTTCAGAGAGCCTGAGATGGGGTTAGTGTAAGCTGAAACAGGTGAAAGGTAAAGTAGTGAACATCCAGATGTAATCCAAACTGCAGGGGATCTTATTAGGCATCGGGGTCATAATGGCAAAGGAGGAACGTAAGGAAAAGGACATTTTGTACTCAATTCCAAACACTCACTTCTTAATCTTTACATTCTCCAAACTTGGTCTATATGGTGCATTCTGAAATTATTATGAAAAAAAGTTTACACTGGCCGCCTGAAAGTAACTGGGAATACATGAAAGGCCAGTCCTCACCTCCGGATGTAACTTGCAAATAGAGTGGAACTAACAGGCTTCCTACTGCCCTGCCCCGCCTTACACCTATGGTGACTTCTGCACATGAGAAAAAGCAATGAAATCGGGACAATTTGCTCTCTAAAACCATGAATCACCCACATCACTCTGAAAGCAAGCAGCAGTCTCCCCCTTGGTGACACCAGCTCCCTGGTGCTGCTTCTCAAGCGTCCTCTGGCACAGGTGCCGCTGTCTGGACCTGTAGGCCCTCGGTTCCTAGGCTGCCCTCCCTTTGTGTCGTCCCTCCTGACTTCTGTCTTCTGCAGTTGCTGATCTGCTGATCTGGCAGCAGCAAATGTGCTTCCTGCAGTGGGAAGGCCCCTCCGGGTAACCTTCACCTGGCTGCACCAGCCTTGGGATAGTGCCCTCGCTCAGGGTGACATTTGAGCTGCTGTTGCCTGCTTCTGTCTGTGTCCCAAAACCAGTTGCTCAGCCAGCTTTTCAGCAGCAGTGACGATTATTGCTCTCTTGTCTTGCTGAATTCATAAAATATACTGTGGCATTTTCAGTTACCAAGATATTCAAGAAAGGCAGGCTTTGTGTGAGTGCTGACTGGGACGCACACTGGCCCGGTGACAGAGGTCAATGGACTGCACAGCTGGCTCCCAGCACACGGACAAACACCTTCGAGGATTGCTTATGAGTCCCATGAGTTTAACACCAACTCGGAGTCTGGACTGTCCGTCCTCAATGAGGGGAGCAATGTGCAGTTAGTGTAAACATCTTCCTTGGTATTAGACATGGCTCCGTGCTTATGGAGTTTACTACAGATCCGGATCCTCTAAACCCTGAGGAGAGGTGACACAATGGCATGCATTCCTGCAGCTGGGATTTATGGAAACATGGCAAGTAAAAACTTGTTTGTATCCAGGCACTGAGTTTGATTTGAGAACAGCCATAATCCTCAAGTAAGAAATCTGCTTTTTAAAAATAGTTTTAAACAGTTCCAAAATTATCTTTTTTGAGAGTCAATGGGTTTTCCTTAAATATTCACACATACCCTATTCACTTTCTGTCCTGTTGCTGCTCACTCAGGAAACTGGCACTGGGGAAACAGCAGGAGGGAGGGAGGGAGGGAGGGATGGAGAGAGAGAGAACACGCTCCAGCAAAGGCAGAGCCCTCTTTGTTCCAGGCTCCAGTCTTCAGGGCACCCCCTCTGTCCCCGCACTCCCAGGCCCTGTGCCTGCTCTCACCTTTCCTGTCCTGTCCTTTGTCCTCTGCCTCCCACACAGCGCAGGACCCACCTAGGAGCCCAGCAGCTCTCACCGGACACAGAGCCTGCCTTGCCTGGATCCCAGGCTTCCCAACTCCAAAACTGTGAGGAGTAAATTTCTGCTCTTGATCCATTATCCAGTCTCTGCTTCGCTGTAGGAGGAAGGGCGAAGAGAAAACATTTGACCTTCGTGATGATCTGCTGGAACTTTGGTTGAGACATAGAGACTAAAAGTACATAGATATGGACTGCTTTCCACATTCTGCTTTTGAAGGGAGGGGTAGAGACAGTCTCAGTATGTAGCCCAGGCTGGGCTCAACTAATGGCGACCTTCCTGCCTCAGCCCCACCCAGTGCTGGATTACAAGTGCGCGGCCACCACACCCGCCAGCCTTTTTTACTGAATACATTAGAATGCAGGTATTGATGGAGGCAAGAAACTTGTGGCAAAGATTCTGACTAATTTACAAACTAGATAAGGAGTGGTTATTCTTAGCCCTTTGTTGACATTTATTCTTACTGCATCCTAAAGTTCCACCTCTTAAATGCAGGTAACTGTCTTTCCCATTGAGTGAATAATTTGGTAACATGAAGAAATGGAGTTTTTATTTATTTAATATTGGTAAATTAACAATCTGGTATTATTTAAAGGGAAATTGAGTTGCATAACCCCAGCAAACAGAAAATGCCTATTTGTAGCAATCCCAGCACTGGAAGGCTGAGGCAGGAGGGTCCCAAGTTTGAGCCCAGCCTGGGCAATGTAGTGACCCCAGAGGGCTGGGGATGTAGTTCACCATGAGACCCTGTGTTCAATGCCTAGTGCGCACACACACACACACACACACACACACACACACACAATGTCGCAAATCTCAGCACTCAGAGGTCACGAAGTCAAATATTTCATCATGATTCAAATCGTTCTATACTAAGGTAGGTGAAGCTTTAAAATTCCTCACTGAGTGGGTAAAATTAAATAATAGAAGTCAAATTAAACATCTCATTTATTTGGATAAGCAATCTGAAATTTCACACTCATTTTAAACCAAATGATTTTCTTCCAACTTCTGCAGATGTCTGGTTAGTGCAGGAGCTAACCGTGTTAGTCTGTTAAACCCTCACTCAGCACCCACACTTGTAAATGCACGTGTCACGTGTGCGCTTTCCTAACACCTGTGTTTCAACTAAGAGAGACAGGGACCGCTACGTAGACCTTAGATTCTAGCTGTGTGTGTGTGTGTTTTAGAATAACTATTTAAAGGCTATGGGGAAATGTAGAAGGATTTCTTAGAGTGTAAAACTGAGTTCATCCCAAATAAGATGCAGATGGAAAATCCCTCAGAAATATCGTAAGTATGTTTAGGGTCTGACACAGAGCTGCTCAAAACTTCCCGGTTTCCAGAGTTGCCTGGAAAGTGTTTTACAGACGCAGGTTACAGGTTACTGGGCTCAGTCTCAGCCCTTTATGGGCATGGGATGGGACAGGACTGTGTCAGGTTCCTTGTTCATTGCACACCCAACATTTCACCCAGGCCCTCAGGGATCATTCGCTGAAGGGAAGCTTCAGACTTTCTGGAGGCGGAGTCCAGAAGCTTGACTAGAAATGCTGCAGCCTCCCCAGATGCCTCTGATGACCCGTCACTTCCAGAGACTGTGGTTCCTCCTTAACCCCAGGTCCAGAGGAGATTTTACCATCATTTAATTCTACCAGCTTGTTTGGAAATTGAGGAACATGGAGTCCAAGAGATTAAACAATCTGTCATATATAATCCTAATATTTTCATTTTTACCAACACATTTTTGGATAAATGACAACAAACAATGAGAAAATGAGACTAAAAGATATGGTTTTTACCAAAAAAGGCAAACTGTCGTTCACGGTGGCCCCCAGACTAGGAGAGGTCCGCTGCAGGTCGGCCCTTCCTGCGCCTCGACCCCTCCCAGGAGCCTTTCCACACGGGCTTTCTCTCCCGCCGCCTCCGTCCAGTCGTGCCAGCTACCGGAAGAGAAGTGTTTTGTTTCACTTAAAGTCTCTATATTGGCTTTGCCTTCCTCTGCAGTCTCTGAAGCCACCTCATCCCTGCAGTATAAATTAGGCAAAAAAAAAAAAAAGAAAAGAAAAAGTGGTATTTTTCCTGCAGAAATCTGTCAATAATTTAAAATTTATCTGTTAACATGATATTTTGTACAAATACATCAAAAAACGTTTAATACCTCACCCCCTCTTCTGCCTGCACATTAGCATGATTAGAAAATATTCATGGCTAGATAGTCATCAGAAAGTAAACATTTAGTCACCCAGCTGTTATTCTCCAAATCTTTTCGCTATGTTTAAGTGGAATCCGCTGCAACCCACAGTAATTCCCGTACCTTTTTAAAGGAACTCTGCTGTTCATACCATCAAGAGGATGGTAGACTAAGACAAATGTTCTGGCATCCTTTTTAAACGTGCTAAGAAGGTAAAACGTAGACGCTTCTGGAAACAATCCTCACTTTTGTTTTTGTACATTGTCTCAAAAACTGTAAGAATAACCATGGACTCATTATAATTAGGGTTGGCAGAGCACTTACTAAGCACTAAGCCTTATACGCAGAGTGTGCCATGGAAAATATATAACATACATAGGCAAGTATCAAGTGTGAATAGTCATGTGTAAACATACATGTGGGAGCATGTAGTACATTCCTGTATTATAAAGTAATATGCTAACGATATCCTACGACACATGGTATTTGTAACACATTTGCTTGAATGTCAGCAAGACTCTGGGCAGATGTTAACACGCGGTTCATGGTGTGCCAGGCCCCAGGCCCCACTCCTGTTTGCCAAGGGAACGGGCCCTGAGTTTGCCAGCCTAACCCGGGTGGGGCAGCTTCATTCCCTCCTCCCAGGGACAGGTCCTGAGACCCAGGTGATCCGGGGCCTGGAGGCCGCTGGATGTGCGTGGGCAGAAGGTCGGTCTCGTCTCTGCCCCTGCCTTCCTGCTGGGAAATCCTTCGTGTGGCAGCGAACTGCCTGGAGCTGTGCAGGCCACCGGTGACCCTGAGGTGTGGCGCTGCCCCCACTCCGTGACTGGGTGTCGTCACTGTCACCAGCCCGGATGCCCTGTGAATTAGCAGCCGCCACTGTCCGTGGGCTTTGGTTCCTGCAGGGCAAGGCCGCCTTGAGGGCGTGGACAGAGTGTGCAGGGAGCGGGGCACATTTTACTTCCACCTGTGGCTCCTTTGGGGCTGCTTTCGTTTTTCTGCTGTATTTGGACACTAATTTTAACTTCATAAAGTGATTTATTTTGAATTTTTACAGATTGCATTTCTGAATAACTGCTACAGTACATTAATTCGGTGTTGATTTGGCACATTAGTGTTCGGTGTGAACGGTAGTGCTTAGCCCATAATGGATACCTAGGCATTCTTTGTACTGATATACTATCACTTAGAGTTTTCAACAATGAACTAGGCTCTGTTTGCTTTGAGATGGGTCCACCATGTTGCCCAGGCTGGCCTTGAACTTGCAACCCTCCTCCCTTACCCTCTCAGATAGCCGGGAGCACAGGTGTGTGCCACCATATCCGACTGCTAATTTTGAATTGTAGCATCGATTTTTTCTCTCCAAAGTATCCGTGAGCATTTGTGAGTCTCCCAAATACTGTATAAGGTGAACTTCACTAGCATGAGCTTGCAGGGAGCCTTGGTGAGCCTGGTGTGATCCGCAGTGACCGTTTCAGGCTCCACAGCCTCTTTCCGAAGGCCCAGGGAAGATGAAGAGGCGGCCCCTCTAGCCAGGCCTGCCTGCAGTGGTAGATGTCTCCACTAGGTAGAGTCAGCGGCTGGGGTGAGGAAGGTGGTCTGAGGGGCAGGTAGCACCAGCTCAAGTACCACCTTGGCTTTTCAAGAGAGGACACCGATCTTTGTACCAAAGCCCAGTAGATGCTCCCATCAGTTGACAACTGTGGAGCCGTGAGAAAGGTTCTAGCCCCACTCAGAGCGTGAGTGCCCAGGCTCCCCAGGACCAGGCCTACTGTGGAGTCCACCACTTCCCTCCCATTTCTCCTCGGAGCTCTCCTGTCTCAGGGACACCCCTAAGCAGGGGTCTAGGAGTTTGGCAGAAGCTGGTGTCCTGTTGCTGCTGCATGCAGAAATGACAAACTGCATCACAAAACGCTGGCTTCCTGGTGCCCATGCGCAGCGTTTCACTCGGTGGATACCCGGGAAGAAGTGGGGTTGAGGGAGCCATGTCAGTGCCAGTCGTATGCTCGCCATTCTGAGCGCGCTCCCCAGTCACAGGGCTGGGATTGGGACCCCATTATTCATTCATTTATTTACAATGCCGTGTCCTACCCTTGTTCCATCTCTAAGAACTGTGGAGTTTTTCCTCAGTGCTCTTGAAAACAGTCTCACTTTATTTTCATTCCCGGGACAGGTTCCTAACTATAACTCTCTCCCTCCCAGGTCTTCCGCAGCTCACTGGATACACAGCTGTCACAATACCTGTGTGAAAGACCTCGGTCCTCATTTCATTCCGTACCTAAGATTTACTGGTAGAAACAAACATTTGAGCAAAAAGAGAGGTCCAAAAATCATTTCATAGCAAATGATGGAATCCTTATTTTCCCAGTGCGATATTCCTTGTGCCAACTGTTGGTCCTGGGAACTTTTAGAAATGCAGATGGAATAATCACAAATCCATTTAGAGTACTTAATTAATTTCAATATCCTCACCACTTTACATTACAAACATAACATTATACATTAATTTAGACATTTTTTCTTAATATCTGAAGAATAGTTACCAAAACACTCCTGGGGCATCTTCTATGTCCGGGTATGTCTCATGGGCTATGTCTCATGGGTGCCATCTGAGAGGGGACAGCGTGTGGCTGTGGTCCAGGGAGGTCTTTAAGAGCAGGAAGATCACAGGGAGGTTCAGCGCGAGGCTCTGGGAGAGAAGAGGAAGGAGACTGTGAGGGCCTCGCTGGTCGGAGGACACACTTCCAGGTGCCAGGCAGGGCTTGACGTCACCGAAAGCGGGAGACATCTGGTCATGAAGCCGTATGAATGTTTGGTTTAACTGCTCCCAGCCCTGACTTTCCACTTTAGCATGCAGACAACCCTGTATCACACAGACCCCTGCAGCCCTCACTTTTTACCCAGTTGGTTGGCTGCAGAGAGCTTTGAAGCCTTTCCTCAGTGAGAAAATCTCCAGAATCCCCAAATGTAAACTGATGTTCCTTCAGTTGCACCTTGGATTCAGTAGCTCACCCTTCACATGCGCAGAAGTATAAGAGCCTTCCTCGCCTTCACATTGTCTCCCTAAGGGATTTGGGCTCACGGCAATGCCTTTGCATTGACTTTAGCTGCAATAATTCAGCCTAAGGAGCATTTACTGTGCAAGGCTTTGTAGCCAGTATATCCTAAGTGATTTCCTCCTGTTTCACAGAGGAAGGAGGAGTCGCAAGGGTACAGGGAGCGTCATTTTGTAATGATGGAGTGAGAACCTTCCGACCACCCCAGCTTGCTCACAGGTACACATACATTCAGCATGGAGCTTGGAAATTGGACTGCGCTGTAACTAATTCAAACCTGCGTTTTCCTCAACCCTAGAAATCCAGGCTGCAAATCCACAGTAGGTGGAGCTGTCCATGACAGGGTGCAGTGGGGAGCTGGGCTTCGCCGTGGCCAGGCCCGGGTTAGAAACCAGACGGTGCCCTTAGTAGCGGAGTGACCTTGAGGGAGTCACTTAACCTCCTTAGAACTCAGGTCCTTCGTTGGAAACCTAGGAATAATACTGAACTACCAAGGTCATTGTTTCTCCTGGAAAAGCAACTAAAAAATTCTGCTTCGGGGCCATCAACGGCACAGCACCTACCTGGCAAGCGCAAGGTCCTGAGTTCAAGCCCTGGTACTGGAAAATAAAACAAAACAAAATGAACAATAATAATAATAATAATAATAATAATAACTGCTTCATTATCCAACTTCCTTTTCCTCTCTATAAGACCAAAGAATAAGTGTATGCCAAGTATTAATGTCCATTATAGACACATTTTTACCCTCTCTCTAAAAGTGTTCTTTTATTAGAAACCACAGTTGCATTTAAAATGAGACACACTCAAGTATTAAAACAATATAAAAATATATAATTTTCTGTAGCTTTGGGCTGCAAGTGGCAACCACTAAATTATATATAGAACCTTAGTGTAAGGGACTCAAACATAAAACACTAATGAAGTAATATAGTGACATTCAAACTGGATTTCAAAAGCAAACACAGTGGACCCTCAAGTTACGACTGGCCTGACATATGAACAACTTGGGTTAATTAGGTTAATGGAAGATTCATCTGCCTCTCATTCTTCATACCATGTACCCAGGTAAACATCCAGATCTCAGCTGTATTGACTTTCAGCTTGAGTTACAACCAGCCTTCGGGAACCGATCGAGTTCATAAGCCAAGGGTCCATTATATCTCAATCAAATAGGCTTCAAACACAGCATACAGAATCAAAATAATGGACACAAATTAATTTTTAAATCTGACCTGAAAAACTTAAGAAATTTCCAGGTTTCAAATCTTTCCCCCCAAAATGTGAATTATATACCCAGATGCTTCATTTGCTTGAGTAGAATGAGCAACCATTCAATTTTCAAACACTCATGCAAACATTTTAACATTTAAAATATTTTATATCCCATATTTTAATATAAGTACTCTCAAACATGATTCAAATTTTATTAAAATGTGAGAATGGTATCTTGCTATGAAAGTATTCGGTTGCCAAAGGTGGGTGGATCCTAAAAAATGGCCCCAGAAAACTGAAGCGGAGCTAGCCGGCCACACCCTGACGCCCTCTGCCTGGCCAGGGCCTGGCCTCCTGCTTTGATCCTGCTGGGGCTGGGACGTCTCCGTCCAGGTCCCGGCTCAGGCACTCACTCCCGCAGGTGCAGGTCCGCGGGAAAATCTAGTGGCCTCTGCTGAGCCCTCTGAAGTCCTCAGGTAGTGTCTGTCAAGCTACTTCGCTCCATCCCGCTAAAGTCACGGACAGGAGCAGGAGTTCTGTTGACTGGAGACTCACAGCTTCATTGGAGCTCGTCTTAATCTTTGGTGAATGTTCAAATGTGTCGCTAAAAGTTTTACTTCTGATTCAGTGGAGTATCACTCGGTCAGCGAAGAGAAATTTGTGAGCTTAACCCTGAATTGGCAGAGAGCAGATTACAAATGTAAGAAGTGTTGCTTTTGGCATGTCCATTCTTCTCAAGTCCTCTCTTGACCTGTGAACTTGTCCTTCCAGTTATTCCACATTTTGTGAGGGACCCAGGGTGCTGGAACACAATCCCGATCCCAGGGGTTACACACACATCTTCCACATTCTGAGATTTCTTCCCAGGTCCCCCCTGCTTCATACTGGGGATTGCGCCCAAGGCCCTGATGCTGAACTCTGTATCTGGCCCATTTTTATTTTTCCTTTTGAGACAGGGTCTTGCTAAGTCACTAAATTGTCCAGGCTGGGCTCAAACTTTCGATCTTCCTGCCTCAGCTTCCCGGAGTGCTGGGCTTTCAGGCAGGCAGCACCACAACAGGCTCCCCGTTCTCTTCCTTAAGGACACCCTTCTTTTCCCAGATTCAAGGATGGCTTCTCCCATGTTTATAAGGAATAAACCCAGCGCTCTCTGATGAGGCTGAGAACCTGCCCTGGCAGCCCTGGTGGCGGTGTGAGAGCAGATGGTGCTCTAGGGGGATGGGAGGGAGGACAGCTCCCAAGGGCCCTGGCGGGGACACCACGCAGGAGGAGTCACAGCGAGGCCTGCAGCCAGGGCCAGGCTGGGAGTCTTGCCCCCGGGGGCCTGGCTGTGGCCTCTTCTGCCCTGAGTAGCTGCTGCTAAAGGAGATATTCTCCTTTCCTGGGAGTAGCAGATGCTTTGTTTCTTTCAATCAAATAAGGCAAAGGCCGCAGGCAGCCATGCACTAAAAACCCTCCTGGTCTTGCTCCACCCTGGGCAGAGGTATTCCATAGTGGCGTCTTTGAAATACTTCCAGCCACCATCTGTGTTCCCTCTTCTGAGGCGACTGACATTTAAAGGTGACGTTAATTGCAGCCCCAGGTGAGATGTATGCCGCCTTAGAGTCGAAGGTCATCTTTTGAAATTCAGCTCCTCAGTGGAGAGCGAGTTGTGCAGTCTACAGCTCCCAGGAGCCTCTCCCGGCAAACCCTCCACTGCCTTGGGTTCTGGCTCGGAGCCTTCCTGCTGCGGCTCCAGGTTCTTTACCTTTCACTCTAGGGGCAAAGCAACAATCAAGTGAACCTGGGGGGACACTAAAAGGCTTCTCTCAGAAACAGGAGAATGAAAAGTGAGCGAGGAACCTCATGGTGGGAACAGATGGCCTGGGAATTCACCTGTGGGCGTCACGTGCTGGTGTGGGTTAGACTCTGAAGAATCTCCTGCAGCCACACAGGACCGCGGGAAAGGTGCTGGGCTGGTTTGCCTTTCCTGATGGTCTCAGCCAGTGTGTGCTACTGAGCCTCACGCTCCCCAGTCCGGCAGTTTCTGCTCTCCTCCTGTCACTTCTTCCACACATCTTCTGCTGGTGCAAGAGCAGCACTGTGCTGCTCACGGACACAGGCTGTGACGCCGCCCCGCACCGCTCCACCATGTCGTCGTTGTGTGGCCTCGCAAGTCCCTTAACACCCATGCCCAGTGTTTTCCTCTGTAACACGAGGTAACGCTGGTACCCACCTCACAAGTGGCCAAGGAGAAAGAGTCAGTCCTGGGTGTTTCAGTACTCAGCAGGGGCCGCTGTACTGTAAGGAGGTGGTGGTGGTGATTGCTGTTATTTGAGCAGTCACTGGCTACAAGGCGCAAGGCTAGGCAGAAGAGGGATTATAGGAAGTCGGAGTCGGAGTCTTCCCAGCAGGAATGTACTGTTTCTCCTGGTGACTTAAAGGAAGGGGTCAAGGACCAGGGCCCCAGGCAGCTGTGGGTGTGGTCTGCAGCTTTTCCTCCCCCGCCTCTCTGCTGTAGGCAAATGACTTCATTTCTTATCTAAGACTGGAGATGATAAGAGGGTTACCAATCATAATTACTCCAAGTTAATTATATATACATACTGGATTCTAAGTGGCAAACGAATAGCTAGTGTTATCTTCCAGGAACAGACTAGAGATTTAAAAGTGGGGCGAGCGGCCTCAGTTTCCCCAGAGTAATTAACGGTAGGCAGAACACAGAATAACACAAAGTGCAGTTGGCTTCCCCACCTCTGTCCCTGCCCCGTGCGAAGCCTTCCTCGGAAATCACCGCCTTGGGAGAGGAGGTGGGAAAGCCAGTATTTCTTTCTTCCTTGTGTGCCTGAGATCTTGCCCTTTGTCTTCAAGCTTTGTCTGGTGTGGCTTTCTTTTGTGCATCCTGCTTGGAGTTCACAATGTGTCTTACTCCATTTGGGGAAATTCTCATCCATGATCTCTTCACACCTTTCTTCCACCCGCCCGCCCTCTGTGTCCAGGGTTGTGACTGCTACACACATCCCTGCCTTTGCACCTTTCCTAAATCCCTGCACCCTGTGTGTATTTTTCACCCTCTGGGCTCTCAACAGAGACGTTTTCTTCTGACTGCTCCACCTCTTCTTCACCTTCTTCGTCTAATCTGTCAGCAAACCTGTTCCTTGACTTCTTCAAAAGCTTGATCCCATTTTCAGTTCTAGAAATTTCTCTTTACTCTTTTTTTTTTTTTTTTTTTTTTGGTACTAGGGATCAAACTCAGGTCCTTGCACTTGCGCGGCAGGCAGCGAAACCACTGGGCTAAATCCCTGGCCCTCTCTTTACTTTTTGATTTTGTGTTCATTTCCCATTCTGTGTTCAAATTCTCAATTTTCATTTTTAATTCTTTGAATGTTTGAGTCATGTTCTTTTTTTTTTTTTTTAATTCTGTTGGCTAAGTCCAGTATCTAGCCCCAAATGTGAGGCCATTCCTCTTGTCCCCTCTTCTCTCAGTTCTGGCTTCTAACACCCGGGAGGGGTCTGCACTGTGCATGGGGGGGGTGCTGGACAGCAAGCAGAGACCCTTGGGGCAGGGACGGAGAGGTCCTGCAGGGGCTCCTGTCACCTGGGCACGTGCTCGGCAGGTGGTAAAGGTTGCGGGCACCCGGCTGCAGGCTGCGTCTGCTGACGGTCAGTCCAGTTCCCTCTGACTCCTAGAGGGGAGCTCTGAACATGAATTATTCCACCGCACATCCCACAGCTCTTAGGCTCTGCTAACACCGTACCCCTCAGCATTCAAACCCAGGCCTTTGCACTGAGTTACATCCCAGTCCTCTTTATTCTCTTACTTTTTTTTATTTCGAGGTAGGGTCTCACCGAGTCACTAAATTGTTCAGCTGGGCTTGAATCTGTGATCCTCCTGCCTCAGCCTCTCAGAGTGCTGAGAATATAGGTTGTGCCCACCTTCCTAGCTCCTCTTGACCTAGGCAGTTTTTCTACTTGTTCTCAAGGAAGATGAGTTCAACACTCCTCATCTACCATTTCTACATGCAGAACTCTTCCCTGTATTTTTGATGTACATCTGATGCTCTTCATATTCTAAGCCAGACACAGATTTCTACAAAAATAAGTGGCAGAGTTCCAAACATCCTGCCACGCTGACGTTTAGCGGAGCAAAATGAGTTTTAGAGGCACAGATAGCTTAATGGGAAAGTCTGGAGACATCTCCAAGCAGAGCAATGGTTCCTGGGATGGCAGGGCCCCCGTGAGCTTCCGTGGTGTAAAACTCCTCCGACTGCCACGCCTGTGCCCGGTTCTGGGTGCGCTTTGCTCCTCATGTTTAGCTTGAATCTCCGGTACTCCAGCCCATCCTACCATCACTTTTATGAGTTAAAAAGATGCATTACCATAAAAAGGGCAACTGGATAGTGCAAT